CTTGATTATAATTTGAACTATTTTGTTTAATATTACATTAAAGTTAATACATTTTAAATGGGTAATACTTTATTTTAAGGTGTCCTTGTTACGCATGTTAAATGTACTTACTATTATAATAACAATTAATTATGCATAATTATATGCAAGCAACCCTAAGACAAACCCAAATCCTAACCTTAAGCTAACCATATAGTAAGTGTCACGGGGCTGACGAGACGTGAGACGTGAGACGTGTGGATCCATCTGCAAGCTTTTATTAAAGAGACGTGGTATAACAGGCAGGGTCGAACAATGGCAAACAGGTATGTGGTGGGCAAAAACACAAGAATAGTCCTAGGGCTAGCGTAGGTCACCGATCGGCAGACAGAATCACAGGGGCGAGACGAGAGGGAGAAAACCAGGAAAACAGGCAAAGATCAGAAACCACAAAAACAGGCAAGGCAAAACAAGGAAAACACAGAGACTCGGAAAGGGGTACAGGCTAAACAATACTCAGCCGAGAAAGGTGGTTAGAGTGGGTGTTATATAGTGAGTGAGGTGATAAGAAACAGCTGTGTGCAATGAGTGCAATCAGTGCAGTGTGCAAATCGTGCAATGAATGATGGGATATGTAGTCCGGGGTGCTATGCGACAGTTTGTGTTGTGCGAGAGTCAATGTAAAGGAAAGGGTGACCTCTGGTGGTGAATAAACGGAAGTCCATGGACCGAATTCGTGACAGTAAGTACATGTAGTTAATTAATATTACTCGGTACTTAAATGCATAATTACACCGTGAAACAAGGACACCTTAAAATAAAGTGTCACCTATAAATGAAATAAAAGGCCACTTAAGTGACTTAAAGGATAATTTTCCATCTCCCCTAGAGTTAAACAGTTGAGTTTTACCATTTTCGAATCCATTCAGCCGATCTCCGGGTCTGGCGGTAGCACTTTTATCCGTAGCTTAGCATAGATAATTGAATCTGATTAGACCGTTAGCATCTCGCTCAAAAATGACCAAAGAGTTTCTATATTTTTCCTATTTAAAACTTGACTCTTCTGTAGTTACATCGTGTACTAAGACCGACGGAAAATGAAAAGTTGCGATTTTCTAGGCCGATATGTCTAGGAACTATATTCTCATTCCGGCGTAATAATCAAGGAGCTTAGCTGCCGTACCATGGGTGCAGCAGGCGCAATGATATTACGCAGCGCCTGAAAATATTTCCCAGCTAGGTAACTTCTGACTTGACCGGCACTAAGTTTGTGTAGTTGGTTATGTTGACGGAAGTTAGCCTATTTTCAGGCGTTGCGTAATATCATTGCGCCTATAGAAACTCTTTGGTAATTTTTGAGCGAGATGCTAACGGTCTAATCAGATTCAATGATCTATGCTAAGCTACAGCTAAAAGTGCTACCGCCAGACCCGGAGATCGGCTGAATGGATTTGAAAACGGTAAAACTCACCTGCTTAACTCTAGGGGAGTTGGAAAATTAGCCTATTTTCAAAAATAGTGGAGTGTTCCTTTAAAGAGTTTCTTAACACTTAAGTGCATTTAAAAAGGCCACGTGTAGAAGTGTCACTTTAAAAGTTTTACACTTTAAATTAATGTTTTAATAATCTTTTATCATGTTTTAAAACACACTTATTCTGATGTGTTATTATTATAACATGCTGAAGCACATGTAACGTGTTTTATTTAATATTACATTAAAGTGAATACATTTTAAAGGTACTAAATTGCAACTTCATTACAAATGTGTAATTACAAATATTTAAATACATGACAAACAAGTTTCAATAGAAATTACATTAAAGTATATTTATGGTTGTCAGTACATTCAGCAGTATAGAAGTAATTATGAAACATAAACATGTATTAAAGTCCTACTTAAGTGGGTGTAAAAAGCACTCTTACGTTCAACTAATTGCATTTAATATAAAAAGCTAAATAGAAATGAAACGTGCTGTTTTGAATGTCTTTGATTCACCGAATGAGTGCAGACATTAACAGAGCTTGATGGACACACAGTCAAAGTTTCACCTGCTGTAAAAGCACTCGGACGAGCTGCTCGTGTCCTCGGCGAGCCTGCAGGCCCTGCCGCACATAAGAGGCCGACACCAGCTTCTCGCTCAGGCTGAAGTTCTGGATGTTCATGTCGCTGCAGCTGTTTTTCTCTGAGTCAGCATGAGTTTCAAATCGATCAACTTCTACATGCACTGTTTACTTCCGGATCGAAACTCCTCCTCTTGATGACGCTTCGATTTCAAAGTAAAAGTCCTGTGCTAAAGCTATGCAGTCACGTCAAACAGCAGCAACTAGATCGAAAAGTATTTTAAAAGTTGGCTTGAGAAAGCCAGAGAGTTTGAAGTAGTTTTAAAAGCTTGAAGTCTGAAGGTTTTCAGTTTGAAACCGTACTAAAAAGTTTTAATTTAGTAGTTTTAAAAGCCAGATAGACAGATATATAGATAGATAGGTAGCTAGATTGAGAAACATCAAACAGATTTAGCAACAACAAAAAACCAGCTAAAACCAGCCGATTTAGTTAATAAAAACAGCTAAAACGAGTTGATTTTGCAAAAAACTGTTGAAATCCAGCTAAAACCAGACGATTTAGTTAATAAAAACAGCTAAAACCAGTTGATTTAACAAAAAATCAGCTAAAAACTGATTTGGCAAAAACCAATTGAAATCCAGTTAAAACCAGCTGAATTAGTAAAAAAAAAAGCTATTAAAAAAACTAAAAAACTGCTAAAGCCAGTTGATTTAGACAAAAACAATTGAAAAACCAGCTAAAATCAGCTGATTTAGTAAAAATAAAAAAAAAACTGCTAAAAAAACAGCTAAAGCCAGTTGATTTAGCCAACAAAATTATAATTTTTTTAACCAGCTGATTTCGTTTAAAAAAACCCCAGCTAAAACGAGTTGATTTTGCAAAAAACTGTTGAAATCCAGCTAAAACCAGACGATTTAGTTAATAAAAACAGCTAAAACCAGTTGTTTGGAAAAAAAGCTATTGGAATCCAGCTAAAACCAGCCGATTTAGTTAATAAAAACAGCTAAAACCAGTTGATCTGGCAAAAAACAATTGAAATCCAGCTAAAACCAGCCGATTTAGTTAATAAAAACAGCTAAAACCAGTTGATTTGGCAAAAAACAATTGGAATCCAGCTAAAACCAGCCGATTTAGTTAATAAAAACAGCTAAAAACCAGTTGATTTGGCAAAAAAACTATTGGAAACCAGCTAAAACCAGCCGATTTAGTTAATAAAAACAGCTGAAACCAGTTGATTTGGCAAAAAGCTATTATTATTATTCTCAAAATCTGCAGATTCATCTACATCATCCTACATCATTGATGGCCTGATGGCGAGGACATTTTCAGCAAACTTTCATTTTTGGATGAACTATTCCCTTGATAGCAATTTTCGATAAATTAGAAGTAATTGGAAAAGATTAGTAGTAATTAGTAGTAAAGATAGTAATTCCCAAACCAAATCAAAACTACATTTCACAACGGAACGTCAATATGTTTCTTAAAATATTAGATAACTTGACAAGTGCGGTTGTAAAATGTCATGTGATCTTGATGAATGTCATGAATTAATATTCATGTAAATATAAACATTACCTGCTACCATGAAATAGAGATGCATGTTGCACATAAAGAAACAGATGAAATGAACATTTTCAAAAAATCACTAAAGAGCCTTGAAATGTTTCCTTAAAGATTGTTGACTTTAGGATTTCACAAAGTATATGATTAAAGTAAGTAAAAAAAAAAACAGTAATGCATTTCAGTTCCACATTATAAAACAATGGCCTGATTTTAACTAAAAGGACTCATTGGAATGAACTAAAACCCTTTAAGCGGGTTTCACAAAAAACCTCCATAATGACACTTAAAAAGATGGACAGAAGAACAGTCTTATAATGACTCTTTTTCATTGACATATTTTAAATATGAATTTGCCCTGAAGCAGGGTTCAGGTTTTCCCTGCTTTCAAGCTCTATGTATTTTAACACAGTTTACACAATACAAGAGAGCGAATGCATCTGAAAACGAGTACAGCAACATCTCACACTTTGCTCAAATGTAGTTCGTTACCGATTCCAAATTACAAGACAAAAATTGTAGTTAGTAACGTAATCCATTACATAAGACATTTTAGGCTAATATAATCAGACTACTTTTTGAACTCATTTATCACATTGATTTAAATAGGATAATCTCGTACTATATTGATAGAAAATTGCAAAGAAAAAGAAAATATGTTCCATTCCAGTGCATTAAACATTACATCAATATTTCCCAAACTGAGGTTTGTGAATGAACTGCAGGGGGTTTGTGAGATTAATGAAAAGCTAAGAATGAATTAAATCATAAAAATGTTAATTCAAATAAATCATTTTAAAATAACATCAATCAAAATAAAACATTTACTAAAAAAAATTTAATATTTTATTTGTTTAACTGCATGTCATGTGGCCATTAAATAACACCAGAAAACCGTGAACATTCAAATGTGTTACTTAATTATTAATTTATTGCCTTAAAATCTGAGGGGTGCAAATACATTGTGGAAAAGAGGTTTTGCTGACACACACAAAAAAAAAGTTTGTGAATCCCTGCATTACATGTAAATAAGAAATAGTGTGAATTTGTGCATTTGAATGTGTTTGAAAGACAGAAGCCTTCCAAAGACATAATAATACATGGTTAAATAACAACCGAGTGATAATTAATGTGTTCATCGGTAGTTGATGCAATGTTGAAATGCTGAGAAAACACTTGAAATGTTTTTTTTTGTAAATCCTGTGCTCAAATGCTGTGGCCTCTCAATTTCGTATGTAATTATATCCACTTGACTAATGACTGGCCTTTGTGTGAATGTCCACAAAACTGAAGACTTTCTCAATGTGTATACAAGCGGTAAGCTATTTTAGAAAGGAACATTTAAAAGATGAAAACAAGGAATTAGGGAGAATCAATACATTATGAATAATTTATTGCCATTGTGTGAATAATATGCACTCAATAAAAAGGTAACCTTCGTCTGATTACGAGTATTTTAAAATGTAATTTAATCTAATTACAAGTGCCTCATTTTTGGAATCTGATTACGTAATCCAGATTACATGCAATCAGTTACTACCCAGCTCTGAGTACAGATGCATAAGAAATAAAGACTTGGAATGAAACAAGCACAGGCTTTTTCAAATGATTAGACACAATGTGTGAAAACATAGGCACTTTCATATTTTCATCTGATATCCGACAGCTGTTAAAGGGATTTATCTGATGCAACATCCGTTTTAAACCACATGTTCGTCAGTATTTCAGTCTAATGAAGTTAATGCATAACCATTACGTGACTCTTCTGAAAGAAAATGATTCAGCAATGAAACGGAATCATTGGTACATCTTAAAAAAAGAAAAAAGAATCAACGTTTATACTGTTATAACTAACAAAAAAAAAAGAGAGAGAGACAAAACCACTGATGGGACAAAACAAGCATCCAGATGGTGGATAATATGTGCGTTTCGAGGGGATCGTCCTGAAGACGGTGTCAGTTTTGGGACATCTTGCGGATCATGTAGTTGAGGATGCCGCCGTGATGGAAGTACGTGAGCTCCACGTCCGTGTCGAACCTCATCTTGGCCTGAAACGTCTTCCCTGTGTCCAGCTGCAGAGAGGAATGAAACACAACACATTTCATCAAATGGAAGACGCAGAAGAAAGTATTCAAGCTAGTGTTATTTCAGTATTATTTCTATAGCATAGGAAATTTTAACTTGAAGCTTTCATTTCTGTTGAAAATTGTATGTCATGTATTTAAATAGATTTGTAATATAAATAATAAAAATATTTAAGTCAGTGTTATTTTAGTATTATTTATATAGTATCTTATGCATTTTGATTTAGCTTTTCTTTTCTTTTTTTAGATCAAGTCTTAGTCATTTAATTTTTTTTAATAATTCCCTATAGTTTTCATTTATTTTAATTTCAATTTTAGTAACTTTAGTACTTTTTTTGTTGTTGTTGCCAAGGCAACATTTCTAATTTTCCTTTGTTTTTAAACGGAAATTTTCATCTAATATTTCGATTTTATTTCAGATTTATTTAAATAAAGATTTTTTTTTTTTAGATAGTCATTTAAGAGAGATTATTCAATTTAAGAAAGTGTTTTTTTATCAGGCCTGAATCTCAGGAAAATGTAAAGTAAAATAAAATAAAATCCCACATGTCCCATTGAATGCAAAGATTATAACATCTGCTGTTATACATGTTCTATATTCTATTTTTTATTATGCGTGTATGGCCATAATTCACAGTTGGTTTTGTTTGTTGTTGCAATGTGAGATGAGGAGCTAAGAAAAAAACATTTACATTTACATGCATGTAATATATATACTGTATATATGATAGACAAAGACACTTGAACCTCTTTGCTACAAAATGTTATTTTATTTTTTTATTAATTTTTTTATGTCAGTAAGTTGCCAATGCAACATTTCTAAATGTCTCATTTTAAGTTTTTAAGCAGAAGTTTTCATCTAATATTTATATTTGATTTCAGATTTATTTGAATAAATAAAACAAATTATTATTTTTTTTTTTTTAAATAAAGATTTTTTTTTTTTAGATAGTCATTTAAGAGAGATTATTCAATTTAAGAAAGTGTTTTTTTATCAGGCCTGAATCTCAGGAAAATGTAAAGTAAAATAAAATAAAATCCCACATGTCCCATTGAATGCAAAGATTATAACATCTGCTGTTATACATGTTCTATATCCTATTTTTTTATTATGCGTGTATGGCCATAATTCACAGTTGGTTTTGTTTGTTGTTGCAATGTGAGATGAGAAGCTAAGAAAAAAACATTTACATTTACATGCATGTAATATATATACTGTATATATGATAGACAAAGACACTTGAACCTCGTTGCTACAAAATGTTATTTTATTTTTTTATTAATTTTTTTATGTCAGTAAGTTGCCAATGCAACATTTCTAAATGTCTCATTTTAAGTTTTTAAGCAGAAGTTTTCATCTAATATTTATATTTGATTTCAGATTTATTTGAATAAATAAAACAAATTATTATTATTATTTTTTTTTACATTGTTTTAATTTTAGCTAAAAATAAAAATGATTTAAGAAATTGGGTCTTTATCAGGCCTGGGTCTCAGGGAAAAGCAAAGTCAAATAAAATAATAAAATAAAAAATAAATTCAATTCAGTTAATAAAATAAAATACCACATGTCCCATTGATCGCACAGAAGATAACATCTACTGTTATACATGTTACATATTCTATTTTTTATTATGCGTGTACGTCCATAATTCACTGTTGGTTCAGAAAAAACATTTACTACATTATATCACATGAATGTAATATGCATGTGATAGATAAAGATCCTTGAACCTTGTTGCTACAAAATAAAGCAATACGCCCCGTGAAGCCGTGGTTTACAGTGAATTTATAAAGAGCTAAGGGGTGTTGTTAGGTACGACGTGAAGTGGAGTTAGCCGTTATAAATTCACTGTAAACCCACGGCTTTACGGGGCTTATTGCTTTTATAAAACGGTTGAGCAACACACAATGTAAACAAAGGTGTATGTTTATAGAGTAGCTTAGAACACGGCTCAGCCAATCAGAATCAAGGACCGGAACTCTCTGCTTTATAAGGGCCGATTTAAGGCTCAGTTTGAGGTGAAATCATGCGTGCACCTTGATGTCGACATTCATTCTGGGCGTGATCTGTGGAGGAATGATCACAGTGTATCTCTCGCGGCCGCTGAGCCCCAGGCTTTCAGCGCTGTCACCCGGCAGATACTCCAGAGGGATGATGCCCATCCCAACCAGATTACTGCGATGAATCCGCTCGTAACTCTCTGCTAGAACAGCTTTGATGCCCTGAGACAGAAAAACAAAAATCAGCAGCACTGAGAGGAATGCATCGTTTTCTGTCAGATCCAGAAACTGGCTGTTTGCGAAAGTGTAAAGAAGAAGAATACTTGTAAAAAGAGGACTTATTACGGAAATAACATATTTTTTAAATAATACACCTTAAGTGTGAACTTCATGCAATGTTTTCGGACACTCAAATGTATGTCAATGTCAGTATAGTTTAAATTTGTATTAAATGCAATTAGCTGAAATTCAAAGTGTTATCATCCAATTAAGTAGGACTTCAGTGCATCTTCATACCGCATGTAATTTTATAATTACACTTGTCTTCGAAATCTCGTTAAAGCACTGCTGAATGCACTGACAAGCATTTATAATAAACTAAAATATATTTTAATGTCATTTTTATTGAAACGTGTATGTCATGCATTTAAATATATTTGTAATTACATGTTTGAAGTTGCAATGTGTAGTTGCAATTACATTTCAAATGCATTAAATGTAATATTAAACAACACACTTATAAAGTTATAATTAAGTAATCTGCATGTGCTTTATTATGTTAGTAACACATAAAAATAGTTATACTTTAAAACACAACAAAGATTATCAAAACATAGTGATTAAGTGTACTTTACAGTAAAATTGAATTTTGACGTGTTCAGAAATATAAGAAAGTGAATATAAGTCTCTCTTTAAGTCACTTAAGTAGCCTTTTATTTCATTAAAGTTACATTATCTACAGTACGAGTGTTTACTATTGTCACTATACTATAATTTTCCTAACACAATCTGTATTATTAAAAGCGCTATATAAAAAAATAAAAATACCGAAGTACACTACGTGCACATTTAATACACTTAAGCACACTTCTTTTTCCACAAGGGACATCACATGCAGACAGGATTGAAAGAGACTAGGATTGCCACGAATTAAACTATGTGGCCGCAATACGACCTGAAAGCTTGTTTTTCTCCCATACATGTAGCTTCCAGACAGAAATGGATCATCTTGTCCAAGAAAACGACGATCTATTTCTCTACCTGAATGTCGATTTTTCAACCTGAGCAACTCATTTATGCATAAATGTCTCAGTATATGATTTTGTAGAAACATTAGATGATGCATAAAGTCTCACCAGCAGGAAAGGCCCTTTAGCCGCCCAATCTCTAGAGCTTCCCGATCCATACTCTTTGCCCGCCAGAATCAAGAGAGGATGACCAGCCTGCTGGTATTTCTCTGCAGCATCAAAAACATCCATCTGCCAAAAACACACACACACACACACACAAAATAAATTTAAAAAGTGAAAATTGCAATGGATACACACACACACACAAACACACTAGGGTTGCCAACTTCAGAAAAGGAAAATAAGGGACAATCATGGCTCATTATAGAACAATAAGACACAGAATAAGGGACACTTAAAATATTTATACTGTACCACATAGTGAATGTCATTTCAGTGTCTGCAGTCAAGTATGTGTATAAAAGGTGTAAAAAAAAAAAGGTTCTCAGACAACCTATTTATGTACATTTTAATTCTAAAAAGAATTGTAATGTCATACAGATGGCATAGAATCTGAAAGCAGAACAACTGAATGTCTATAAAACGTCAGTCAATAAAGCATTTTTAAAACTACTTGAACTAAAATGTTGTTGCAACCATGTACTGTATGAATGAATGAAAATGCATATTTTCAATTAAAGACAGCTTAGAGAACTAGTATCGGCTGTTTTTGATTCTTTATTGGTCATTTTGTGTTTTAAAAATGAGGTCCAAGGTAAAGAATACGCCTTTAGTTGTTTAAACGTGAAATTTTTTTCTCTATTTAACAACATGGACTAAACACGACTTGCCTTTATGATCGCGTCTTCTCTCTGAGGCAGATTGCATGTTTTCTTGCGTGGCTGGATGTTGGACTCATGAACAATATTCACGTTGTTTGCATTCGCTCAAACTTATTTGCCGAAATCAAAATTCTGCAAGATTCTGCTTGGTCTTAAAACCGAAGAATGATTCATTCTCAGTTTGGAGTTTGTTATCTGTATGTTATCTGGTGATCAATCTCAAGTGTCGTGATCAGCACTGTTGCTGTTGTATCAGTCAGTGGTTAGATCAGCGTAGCAATCCATAAACGGGACAAGGGAGGTCACGTATGGGACAAATCAATTGGGGCCAATATAAGGGACGTCCCATCTAAAACTGGACAGTTGGCAACCCTAATACATACATACTCACACATATATATATATATATATATATATATACACACACAAAAACATACATGTTTTGCATTATATTCTATTATTAAAATAATACAAAATATTACTTATTACTACTATAATAATAATATTAGTTTCACACCGTCTCCTCTGTAGGAAGGTAGATGGTACTTGGTGCTTGCTTGTTTATAAACTTGTTAAAGAGGCGGATGTTGGCAAATGTGCCTCGAGCCATGACTGCGTCATTCCCTCGACGAGAACCATATGAATTGAACTCCCTCGGGGTGAGTCTAGGAATAGAAACAATTTTACATTACACATTGTAAGTCACATCTCATTTTAAAGACCATACAGACTTAGAGATCACACAGAGATAGGTGTGTAACAGCTTGAATTGGAAGTGAAACTGAAGTGTAGCCAAGTACGGTGTCCCATTCTCGGAATTTGTGCATTTAACCCATCCAAGTGCACACACACAGCAGTGAGTAGTGAACACACACACACACACAGAGAGACACACCGGTACAGAGACTTGAACCCACTACTTTTGGGTTACAAGTCTGACTCTCTAACCATTAGGCCTCAAATGCCCCCTTAAATTGCTGAATACACTTAAGCGAATCAACATCTCACCCGCGGCTGGTCAGGTATCGTGCGGCAGCACTGTTACGTGCAATGTTTCCAGCAGGCGAGATGTGGTCCGTGGTCACAGAATCTCCCAAATTGAGCAGCACGTACGCGTCTGTTATGGAGTTTGGTGTCTGCAGCTCCCGGGTCTAAAGATGTAACAGCAAAGGAACTTGTGTTTACAGTTTTTGCCAAACTTTGTGAAAAAGAAGTGTGCTTAACAGTATTGAATGTGCACTTGTAGTGTACTTCAAATCTTAAAAGTGTATTTTTTTTTTATCTGTACTTGCTTATAATATAATATTAATGAAATAAAAGGCCACTTAAGTGACTTAAAGAGAGACGCTTTCTTAACACACTTAAGCACACTTTTAAAAAGTGACTTTTGTAATATCAAATTGAAATTTTACTGTAAAGTACACTTAATCATTATGTTTTAATAATCTTTGTTTACACACACACAGCATGAACACACGAACACACACACACACACAGAGAGACACACCGGTACAGAGACTTGAACCCACTACTTTTGGGTTACAAGTCTGACTCTCTAACCATTAGGCCACAAATGCCCCCTTAAATTGCTGAATACACTTAAGCGAATCAACATCTCACCCGCGGCTGGTCAGGTATCGTGCGGCAGCACTGTTACGTGCAATGTTTCCAGCAGGCGAGATGTGGTCCGTGGTCACAGAATCTCCCAAATTGAGCAGCACGTACGCGTCTGTTATGGAGTTTGGTGTCTGCAGCTCCCGGGTCTAAAGATGTAACAGCAAAGGAACTTGTGTTTACAGTTTTTGCCAAACTTTGTGAAAAAGAAGTGTGCTTAACAGTATTGAATGTGCACTTGTAGTGTACTTCAAATCTTAAAAGTGTATTTTTTTTTTATCTGTACTTGCTTATAATATAATATTAATGAAATAAAAGGCCACTTAAGTGACTTAAAGAGAGACGCTTTCTTAACACACTTAAGCACACTTTTAAAAAGTGACTTTTGTAATATCAAATTGAAATTTTACTGTAAAGTACACTTAATCATTATGTTTTAATAATCTTTGTTGTGTTTTAAAGAAGTATAATTATTTTGATGCGTTACTAACGTAATAACGCAGATGCAAAGTACTTAATTATAACTTTATAGTGTGTTGATTAGCATTACATTTAATATATTTTAAATGTACTCAACTGCAAATACAAATGTTTAATCACAAATATATGACATACAAGTTTCAATAGAAATGACATTAAAGTACATTTTAGTTTACCATACATGCTTGTCAGTACTTTAACCATATTTCAAAGACACTAGAAGGAATTTTGAAATTACACATAAAAGATATACTTAAGTCGTACTTTAAAGTTCAGCTCATTGCATATAATATGAATTAACCTATAATACACTTCCATTTAATATGCATTTAAGTGTTTGAAAACATTACATTCATTTCACACTTAAGTATATTCTTTTAAAGTGTACTATTTCAAACATAAGTACTCTTTTTAAAGTATGCTAAAATCTACTAATTGTGACCCTGGACCACAAAACCAGTCATAAGGGTCAATTATTTGAAATTGAGATTTATACATCATCTGAAAGCTGAATAAATGAGCTTTCCATTGATGTATGGTTTGTTAGGATCGAGACAATATTTGGCCGAGATACAACTATTTGAAAATCTGGAATCTGAGGGTGCAAAAAAAATCTAAATATTGAAAAAAAAAATAGCCTTCAAAGTTGTCCAAATGAAGTTCTTAGCAATGCATATTACTAATCAAAAATTAAGTTTTGATATATTTATGGTAGGAAATGTACAAAATATCTTCATGGAACACGATCTTTACTTAATGTCCTCATGATTTTTAACATAAAAGAAAAATCGATATTTTGACCCATACAATGTTTTTTTTGGCTATTGCTACAAATATACCCCAGCGACTTAAGACTGGTTTTGTGCTCCAGGGTCACAATTTTTTTATTAGGGTATAGTTATAATAATGGAAAAAAGAGGCAATGGTATACATTACCAGTCCATCAAAGAAAGGAGGGGATTTAATGTAAGTAGAACTGGGATCCCAGGTATACAGCTTGTCAGAAGGAGCTTTCAGGGAGTTCCAGCGTTCATTCACTTTCTAAATATGAAAACAGACAAACGCTACTTAAAACACGGTTTAAATATTAAGAACTGAATGCGTTTACTGCAGAATGATGCTTTTTGGTATCTGGACATCGTTTTGATTTATAGAAGAGTAGTTTATAAGTCAGCAGTACCTCAACTTTCTCATAGACCTCCTTAAACATGGCAGGAATGACAAACTGTCTCTCCACCGCCTGGATCTCCTCCCGCGTGGGCCAGATGTCCCTCAGGAAAACCTCTTTTCCCTGAGAGTTCACGGCTGGATGAAAACAGGCCAAGAAACATGGGCAGCATTCATGTTTTTAAAGGGAGAACAACCATCGGCATGTAAAAGAATGAGATTTAATACCTGGTAAATATTACTCACCTAAAGGCTCTTTTTCAAAATCTATTCTCATTGTGCCTGCTATAGCATAGGCAATGACCAGAGGAGGAGAGGCCAGGTAATTGGCTCGTGTGTTGGGATGGACGCGACCCTCAAAGTTTCTGTTTCCAGACAGGACACCCGCAGCCACCAAATCACCCTGAGACATCATTAAAGAAAGAGATCATTAAAACGGTTCTAAGTTTGAAAATATTATCCAAAACCATTATAAAAGCTTGTTTACCTGAGTAATCGCCTCTACAACCGGCTCTGGTAGAGGTCCACTGTTTCCAATGCAGGTCATGCAGCCGTAACCAACAACCTCGAAACTAAAGATGCACAAATAATATATATACAGTATATATATATATATATATAAACAAGTGTTGTTATTGTTAACTAAAACTATTAAATATATATGTCAATTTTGTCTTTGTTACTTGAAATAAAGCTGAAATAAAATACAAATATAAGATGGAAAACTAAAAAAATAAAAACTAACAAAAATCGGAAATGTTGTCTTTACAACAAACTGAATTACTGAAGTAAAATAAGTGCTAAAATTACTAAAACGAACAATTTTACTAAATTGTACTAAAAAATATACTGTATATATAACAAAAAAACCTGAATAAAAACACAGTGAAAACTGTGCTTAAATAGAAAAAACACTAACAAAAACAAAACTTAAGACACTAACTGAAATAAAATAAGTTCAAGCTGAAGTACTAAAATGACCAGGTAAAGCTAAAAATTTTATAAATATAAATTAAAGCTAAATATGAAAAAATTAAATAAAATGGCAAATGCAAACTTAATAAAACTGAAAATAAAATTAAAATGAAAACTCAACATATAAAAATAAAAGCCAATTCAAAATATTAATAAATACTATAATAGTATATAAATAGTACTAAAAGTAACATTGAGACCCTAATGCCAGTCATAATGATTCAGTTAGAGCCTGTTTTATTTCTGTAGCTCCTTTAAATCCACAAGAATTATAGTTATGTGAAGCAACACAGACAATGAAGAGCTCCTCACCCTAACTGTGAGAGGAAGTCCATGACCCCGCTCTCTTTAAGGTAGTATGTGACCACTCCACTGCCTGGAGACAGACTGGTCTTTATGTACGGCTTGACACGGAGACCAGCCTTTACAGCCCTCTGCGCCAACAGACCTGACAGAAAGAAAGAAATAGCATTACATTAGTTGTAAAGTGACACAAATACATTTGGAGTTTGTTTACATGTTTATAATGAGCCTCTAAGTCAGTGGATCTTAACTGGTGGGTCACGACCCAAAAATGGGTAACAGGTCTGTTCTGAAAAACGAATGGCAAATATAAAAGAGGCTTAACCTTAGCTTTTGTTCCTCTACAGTGTTTTGGCACAAATGTATCTGTGAGTTGGCAAAAGCTGCCAAATTAGACAGATGCAAACACAGATGCATGCCCTCATCCTCAAAAACCATAAACAAAGCATGCAAGGTAAAAGAAAACAGACATTAAATATGGCTTCACTTGAAGCAATCAAGTTTAGGTAAAATCATAATCATGAGTTATTCAAATCATTAAAAAAAAATTTAAATGCTATGATTTACTAAGTCATAATTGTAATGAAAAAAAAAACTAGACTATGACAAAAAAGTTATAATTATGTAATATCATGTCTTAATTTTGACTATGCAATTTTGACATTTTGTCATATTTATTACATAAAATGTAGTAATCTCATAATTTTGACTATGTAATAATTATTTATGACTGTCACAATTTAAACATTTTATGTCATAATTGTGACTTTTTGTCAGTGTTCAACTTCTATTTGTTAAAATGTGGACTGTCTGTATTATATTATCACATATTGTTTATATTTTTAACAGTGCGAGTCAAAATCCAGCAAGAATAAACAGGGCTTTTGTTGACCACAATGTGTTTTACGTGGTTGCATGAAACCACTGAAATTCAAAAGACATTTAACAGCTAAGACAGAAACTAAAGACCAAGATTCTCTATTCTCCTATTCAGCTTCTGTCGAGGTAATAATGTTGCATTTTGCACAGTTCCTGGAAATAATACTAAATTAAAATGTTTAATTTAAAATAAAAATGTCATTTAATTTTGTAAGTAATTACTCAAAAAAAGATACTGAGATATATAGGTCAAATAAAAATGAAAATTAAATAATTAGGAAGAATTTAAAGCGTCAGATGGACAACTTCCATGCTGTTTCTGGAGCCCCGTTTCCATACACTTCTGAAATATGGAAAAGAGCCTCTGATAACCATCTTTTTCTGTTACACAGGGGGAAAAAACATATAGATGGGTCAAAGACGTTAAGATGTCCGCATCAAAAGAAATGTACAAAAGTGATTTTATGTCCATAGAAAGCACATTAAATGTAAGTAAAGTGTTTACTTTTAAGGTTTCAAATAAGTTTTTGGAGAATAAAAATGTCACAATTTGGTTGAAATAATGTTACATTGTCGTTCAGTGTAACACAATATTTATGTAAAAATTCAAACAACATGCTTATTCTGACGTGTACATATTAAAATATATAAAATTAAAAAGTGAAAATTGCAATGGATACACACACACACACAAACACACTAGGGTTGCCAACTTCAGAAAAGGAAAATAAGGGACAATCATGGCTCATTATAGAACAATAAGACACAGAATAAGGGACACTTAAAATATTTATACTGTACCACATAGTGAATGTCATTTCAGTGTCTGCAGTCAAGTATGTGTATAAAAGGTGTAAAAAAAAAAAGGTTCTCAGACAACCTATTTATGTACATTTTAATTCTAAAAAGAATTGTAATGTCATACAGATGGCATAGAATCTGAAAGCAGAACAACTGAATGTCTATAAAACGTCAGTCAATAAAGCATTTTTAAAACTACTTGAACTAAAATGTTGTTGCAACCACGTACTGTATGAATGAATGAAAATGCATATTTTCAATTAAAGACAGCTTAGAGAACTAGTATCGGCTGTTTTTGATTCTTTATTGGTCATTTTGTGTTTTAAAAATGAGGTCCAAGGTAAAGAATACACCTTTAGTTGTTTAAACGTGACATTTTTTTCTCTATTTAACAACATGGACTAAACACGACTTGCCTTTATGATCGCGTCTTCTCTCTGAGGCAGATTGCATGTTTTCTTGCGTGGCTGGATGTTGGACTCATGAACAATATTCACGTTGTTTGCATTCGCTCAAACTTATTTGCCGAAATCAAAATTCTGCAAGATTCTGCTTGGTCTTAAAACCGAAGAATGATTCATTCTCAGTTTGGAGTTTGTTATCTGTATGTTATCTGGTGATCAATCTCAAGTGTCGTGATCAGCACTGTTGCTGTTGTATCAGTCAGTGGTTAGATCAGCGTAGCAATCCATAAACGGGACAAGGGAGGTCACGTACGGGACAAATCAATTGGGGCCAATATAAGGGACGTCCCATCTAAAACTGGACAGTTGGCACCCCTAATACATACATACTCACACATATATATATATATATATATATATATACACACACAAAAACATACATGTTTTGCATTATATTCTATTATTAAAATAATACAAAATATTACTTATTACTACTATAATAATAATATTAGTTTCACACCGTCTCCTCTGTAGGAAGGTAGATGGTACTTGGTGCTTGCTTGTTTATAAACTTGTTAAAGAGGCGGATGTTGGCAAATGTGCCTCGAGCCATGACTGCGTCATTCCCTCGACGAGAACCATATGAATTGAACTCCCTCGGGGTGAGTCTAGGAATAGAAACAATTTTACATTACACATTGTAAGTCACATCTCATTTTAAAGACCATACAGACTTAGAGATCACACAGAGATAGGTGTGTAACAGCTTGAATTGGAAGTGAAACTGAAGTGTAGCCAAGTACGGTGTCCCATTCTCGGAATTTGTGCATTTAACCCATCCAAGTGCACACACACAGCAGTGAGTAGTGAACACACACACACACACACACACACAGAGAGACACACCGGTACAGAGACTTGAACCCACTACTTTTGGGTTACAAGTCTGACTCTCTAACCATTAGGCCACAAATGCCCCCTTAAATTGCTGAATACACTTAAGCGAATCAACATCTCACCCGCGGCTGGTCAGGTATCGTGCGGCAGCACTGTTACGTGCAATGTTTCCAGCAGGCGAGATGTGGTCCGTGGTCACAGAATCTCCCAAATTGAGCAGCACGTACGCGTCTGTTATGGAGTTTGGTGTCTGCAGCTCCCGGGTCTAAAGATGTAACAGCAAAGGAACTTGTGTTTACAGTTTTTGCCAAACTTTGTGAAAAAGAAGTGTGCTTAACAGTATTGAATGTGCACTTGTAGTGTACTTCAAATCTTAAAAGTGTATTTTTTTTTTATCTGTACTTGCTTATAATATAATATTAATGAAATAAAAGGCCACTTAAGTGACTTAAAGAGAGACGCTTTCTTAACACACTTAAGCACACTTTTAAAAAGTGACTTTTGTAATATCAAATTGAAATTTTACTGTAAAGTACACTTAATCATTATGTTTTAATAATCTTTGTTGTGTTTTAAAGAAGTATAATTATTTTGATGCGTTACTAACGTAATAACGCAGATGCAAAGTACTTAATTATAACTTTATAGTGTGTTGATTAGCATTACATTTAATATATTTTAAATGTACTCAACTGCAAATACAAATGTTTAATCACAAATATATGACATACAAGTTTCAATAGAAATTACATTAAAGTACATTTTAGTTTACCATACATGCTTGTCAGTACTTTAACCATATTTCAAAGACACTAGAAGGAATTTTGAAATTACACATAAAAGATATACTTAAGTCGTACTTTAAAGTTCAGCTCATTGCATATAATATGAATTTAACCTATAATACACTTCCATTTAATATGCATTTAAGTGTTTGAAAACATTACATTCATTTCACACTTAAGTATATTCTTTTAAAGTGTACTATTTCAAACATAAGTACTCTTTTTAAAGTATGCTAAAATCTACTAATTGTGACCCTGGACCACAAAACCAGTCATAAGGGTCAATTATTTGAAATTGAGATTTATACATCATCTGAAAGCTGAATAAATGAGCTTTCCATTGATGTATGGTTTGTTAGGATCGAGACAATATTTGGCCGAGATACAACTATTTGAAAATCTGGAATCTGAGGGTGCAAAAAAAATCTAAATATTGAAAAAAAAAATAGCCTTCAAAGTTGTCCAAATGAAGTTCTTAGCAATGCATATTACTAATCAAAAATTAAGTTTTGATATATTTATGGTAGGAAATGTACAAAATATCTTCATGGAACACGATCTTTACTTAATGTCCTCATGATTTTTAACATAAAAGAAAAATCGATATTTTGACCCATACAATGTTTTTTTTGGCTATTGCTACAAATATACCCCAGCGACTTAAGACTGGTTTTGTGCTCCAGGGTCACAATTTTTTTATTAGGGTATAGTTATAATAATGGAAAAAAGAGGCAATGGTATACATTACCAGTCCATCAAAGAAAGGAGGGGATTTAATGTAAGTAGAACTGGGATCCCAGGTATACAGCTTGTCAGAAGGAGCTTTCAGGGAGTTCCAGCGTTCATTCACTTTCTAAATATGAAAACAGACAAACGCTACTTAAAACACGGTTTAAATATTAAGAACTAAATGCGTTTACTGCAGAATGATGCTTTTTGGTATCTGGACATCGTTTTGATTTATAGAAGAGTAGTTTATAAGTCAGCAGTACCTCAACTTTCTCATAGACCTCCTTAAACATGGCAGGAATGACAAACTGTCTCTCCACCGCCTGGATCTCCTCCCGCGTGGGCCAGATGTCCCTCAGGAAAACCTCTTTTCCCTGAGAGTTCACGGCTGGATGAAAACAGGCCAAGAAACATGGGCAGCATTCATGTTTTTAAAGGGAGAACAACCATCGGCATGTAAAAGAATGAGATTTAATACCTGGTAAATATTACTCACCTAAAGGCTCTTTTTCAAAATCTATTCTCATTGTGCCTGCTATAGCATAGGCAATGACCAGAGGAGGAGAGGCCAGGTAATTGGCTCGTGTGTTGGGATGGACGCGACCCTCAAAGTTTCTGTTTCCAGACAGGACACCCGCAGCCACCAAATCACCCTGAGACATCATTAAAGAAAGAGATCATTAAAACGGTTCTAAGTTTGAAAATATTATCCAAAACCATTATAAAAGCTTGTTTACCTGAGTAATCGCCTCTACAACCGGCTCTGGTAGAGGTCCACTGTTTCCAATGCAGGTCATGCAGCCGTAACCAACAACCTCGAAACTAAAGATGCACAAATAATATATATACAGTATATATATATATATATATAAACAAGTGTTGTTATTGTTAACTAAAACTATTAAATATATATGTCAATTTTGTCTTTGTTACTTGAAATAAAGCTGAAATAAAATACAAATATAAGATGGAAAACTAAAAAAATAAAAACTAACAAAAATCGGAAATGTTGTCTTTACAACAAACTGAATTACTGAAGTAAAATAAGTGCTAAAATTACTAAAAGCAATAGTTTGGAACGTCATGAAGCTGGGTAATTAATGACAGAATTTTCTTTTTTGGGTGAACTATCCCTTTAAATGTACAGGTCAAATAAGAATGACATGGAGAAAGAGTCATATGGACTACTTCTGTGGTGTTTTTGGAGCCCCGTTTCCATACACTTTTAAAACATGGAAAAGAGCCATCTGTTAACCCTCAATTTTTACAGGAATAAACATGCTCTTCAAGTGACATGAGGGTGAGTAGATGAATTAAACTCGATGGCATCCCTGTGGACAGACATGTACCTGCTCCCAGCATGACTGAGGGGTTACTGGTGTTAGTGCAGCTGGTAATAGCTGCGATGACCACGGATCCGTGAGACAGAGAATACTCCGCTCCGTTAAACTGGAAGGGCACTCGAACATCATGGCGCTCCGGAGCCACCTGGAATCCTTTGAAGCCTTGCTGTAGACAGACACAGACACAGACAGTGATGCATGACAGGTGAGCAGGAATATGTCTCTAGACAAGAATGGTTGCTTCAGCACTGCTTTAAAGAACCCATTAAAAATCTCAATTTGACTATTTGTAAATGTTATGACATTACTGTTATGTCCATAGTTCATGTATATTAGCTTTGAGGCCATCTTTAATTTAGTGCACTCTTAAAGTTAACTAAATTAAGTCGACCAAACTAAATGCACACTTAACATTTTTCAAAAGGAAATATGTGGAGGAATGAGCTTCCAGATATTCCTGTAGTGACATGAGAAAAAAAAAGCATGCTTTGGTAACTATTACATAAAACAAATATTCTTCAAAATGTTAAAAAGTCAAACAAAAATTTATATTTATGGTATGTAATAAATATGACTCCCATCATTTTTGACTTTTAATGAAATAATTAGGAGTTATGTCAATTGTTTTGTCATAATGTGAAGTTTTATGTCAATTTAGACTTTTTGTAATAATTTTGACAGTCAAAAGGACTTTGTCATCATTTTCAAGTCTTATCACTTTTTTCATATTGTTGTTATAATGACTGTCACAATTTCAACTTTTATATCATAATTGTGACTGTCAGTTTCTTCATGATTTTTTGAATGTAAATAATTATATTTACACATAAGGTTGACTGTCATAAGGACTTTGTGTCATAATTTAACATTTTGTGTCTTAATCTTTTACATGGTCATAATTATGACTATTTCATAATTGTGTTAAAATGACTATCACAATTAATTTTTTGTTCATATTTGTTACTTATTTATCATAATTGTGACTGCCACAATTTCACCGTGTTTTGTGCCAGTTTCAATTTATGTCAGAATATTTATGCAAATAATTTAGTTTTTTAATTCAATAGTTTTTCGACTTTTTATTTCATAATTTTGACTGTCATATGGACTTGTGTGGCATAATTACGACTTCATATCTCATCATTTCAGCTTTTTATCTCTTATGTCATAAATATGTTTTATCAAAGTTTGATTTTCTCTTTCATGAGGAAAAATAATGCTGCATAGTCTCTAGATTCAGAGGGAGTGTGTGTCCTGTGTGTTTTCTCAGGTGTTTCTGTGGCATGTACCTTGGCCCCTAAACACGTTTTAAAGTCCTGCTTCATCTCTGATACATCCACTTTGTCCTGTGGCCGCTTGGGACCGCTGCAGCAGGGGACGACCGTACTGAGGTCCAACTCAACAACCTGCATGAGAGAAAGATGAATAACAATCATCCCGAGACACAAGTACAATTTGCAGAAAGAGGTTCAGATGTGTCTGTGAACAGCAGATTTGTGGGAATGTGTTGAATTTAGATTTGCTACCTGAGTGAACTGTGGATCCTCCGCTGTGTTGCTGTAGTCTCTGAACATGCCCACCGCTTTCAGATACTTTTCTATGTAATTCAGCTTCTCTGCGTCCCTCCCTTAAAAACACATATGAATAAAACATATACTGTATAAACAGTGAGAGTTGCCAACTTTCTTGTAGAGAGTAAAGCAATTCCACCTTCCTGACCACAGCAGAATGTAGTTCCTCTTGTGAAAACGAAGGGTGCTTAATTGTATTGTTCTTAAGCTCTTTAAAGTATTTTTTAAAAATCTGCAGATCATTTGATATTAATGAAATAAAAGGCCACTTAAGTGACTTAAGGATAGACATTTTCACGACTATGTTTTTAACGCACTTAAGTACACTTTTAAAAAGTGCACTTTGTCAATGTCAAATGAAGTTTTACTTTAAAGTACCTTTTAAATCACCATTTTAGTGATTTTTTGTTGTGCTATAAAGAAGTACACTTATTTTGACGTGTTGACTAACATACTAAAGCGCGTAAAATACTTGATTATAATTTTAACTGTAGTGTTATTCAATATTGCATTCAAAGTTAATATATTTTAAATGTACTAAATTGCAAAATGTGTAATTACAAATATATTGCACGTTTCTATAGAAATTACATTAAAGTATATTTTAGATTACCATAAATGCTTGTCAGCACATATTTCAAAGACAATCGAAGTAATTATGCAATTAAAATAAATATGCACCTAAGTGGGTCAAAAAGCACTCTAAAGTTCAAATAATTGCATTTAATATATATAAAACATATTAATTTAATCGCAATTTACATGCAAAAAAAATCTGAAAACATTACATTTAGTTTGCACTTAAGTATATTCTTTTAAAGTATATTATTTCAATAATAAGTACTCTTTTTATACGTATGCTAAAGTGTACTTCTTTTTAACAAGGGTTAGAAGCTTTTAAAACTGATCAGGGACAGGTTTACCCACCCGTCTGCTTCAGATAATGAATGCTGATCTGGTCTACAGGGAAGAAGGCAGCGGTGGCTCCATACTCAGGGCACATGTTGGCGATGGTGGCGCGGTCAGCGATAGACAGCTGAGCAACACCAGGGCCGAAAAACTCCACAAATTTTCCAACCACACCAACTTGCCGCAAATGCTGAGCAGAGAAAGCAGTAAAACAGAGCAACTTCATTTTTAAACATCCACTAAACCATGAAGCTTATTTGAGTTAGTTTCTTAAAAGCAAAAAAATTTCACCATAAAAATTCCGATATGGCAAGACTTGCATACCTTGGTGACAGTAAGCACTATGTCAGTTGTTTTTAAACATCCACTAAACCATGAAGCTTATTTGAGTTATTGTTTCTTAAAAGCAAAAAATTTCACCATAAAAATTCCGATATGGCAAGACTTGCATACCTTGGTGACAGTAAGCACTATGTCAGTGGAGGTGATATATTTGTTGGGCGTCCCCTGTAGTTTGTAGCCGATGACCTCTGGCAGCACCATGCTGATCGGCTGACCCAACATGACCGCCTCCGCCTCGATACCTCCAACACCTGCTCCAAAAGATCGGAGCTTAAATCTCAGCTCGACATTTAGCATTTATTACTGAATTTCCCTTTTTCTTTATTTATAAGCCCAACAATGATACACAATTTAACTTTCTTTTTTCCAAAATAACAAAAAAGGAACAAAAGGTCGAAATTATGAGATACAAAGTCATAGTTATGAAATAAGTCCAAATTATGACATGAAAGTTGAAATTGTAATAATTACAACTTATGTTTTATGGCTTTTACATAAATTGTCAAAATTATTAGATACTATATCATTTACAACATAAGTCAAAATTATGACACGCAAGTCGAAAATGTCATATGCATGACATGCATTATGACTTATATATACTGTATAAAATGTCAAAATTATGAGATACTAAGTTATAACTATGCCATAAATTGAAATTATGAGATAAGCCATAATTATGACATGAACTGCCTTAATTATGACTTAGCCATAATTATGCATTATGATAATTAGGCATTATGATTTACACATAACATGTCAAAATTATGAGATACTAAGTTATAATTGTGAAATAAAAAGTTGAAATTGTTATAAGTGACCTGCATATGACCTATACATAAAATGTCAAAATTTTGAGATGTGAAGTCATAACTATTAATGAAATTATGATACATCATAATTCTGACATGAAAGTCAAAATAGTTATAATTATGACTTTCGTATTTCGACTTATACATAAAATGTCAAAATTATGAGATACTAAGTCATAACTATGCCATTAGTTGAAATTATGAGATAAGTCATAATTATGACATGAACTGCCTTAAATATGACTTAGCCATAATTATGCATTATGATAATTAGGCATTATGATTTACACATAAAATGTCAAAATTATGAGATACTAAGTCATAACTATGCCATTAGTTGAAATTATGAGAGAAGTCATAATTATGACATGAACTGCCTTAATTATGAATTAGGCATAATTATGCATTATGATAATTAGGCAATATGATTTACACATAACATGTCAAAATTATGAGATATAAAGTCATAGTTATGACAATTTCAACTTTTTATCTCATAATTATGACAGAGCATCTCAAAGATTTTGACATTTTATACACATTATAAGTCATAATTATGAATACATTATGACAATTTCGACTTTTTAATCTCATAGTTATGACTCGAAGCTCATTCACACCAAGAATGATAAATGTAAAGGTAATTAAATATGTTATTTAAAACAATGAAACTTGTGGTGATTCTCGATGAGTTTCACTCACCCCAGCCCAGCACTCCCAGCCCATCGATCATGGTAGTGTGGGAGTCCGTTCCCACCAGACTGTCTGGATAGTAGTATCCGTCCTGCTCAAACACGACCCTGGCCAGGTATTCCAGATTGACCTGATGGACTATTCCTGATCCCGGCGGAATGATCCGCATGTTCCGGAATGCTTTAGAACCCCACTGTGGACCGATACAATTAGTTCTCAAGCCATCTTCATCGTCATATCTTGTAGTCTCAAACAATATCAAATACAGAAGGGGAAAATTACCTTCAAAAACTCAAATCGTTCTCTGTTCCTTTCAAATTCAAGGTCTTGGTTTTTCTGAAGGCTGTCAGACCTTGAAGAATGGAAAAGGTAATGAACTTTTGTACTGGACAGTTAAAATCACGATACACTTGTCACCAGAGAGCAAACCCCAACACAAGCGCTCCAAGTGACACTTTAGTTGCAGTTTTCATTTTTAGTTGTGACAGTAACATTTTGGGAGTTCATAAGGACAGGGCCCTAAAAAATGTAAACAGCTACACTTATGAAAAAGAAGGGTGCTTAACTGTACTGAATGTGCACTTGTAGTGTACTTCAAATCTTAATAGTACATTTAAAAAAACTGTACTTGCAGATAATAGAATATTAATGACGTCAAATTAAAAGTTTAACTTTAAAGTACATTCTAAATCATTGTTTTATAATATATATATATATAT